TGCCCCGATAATTAATAACATCACACCGAGATCCAGACTTGAAGACGGGAATTATACTTGGTATCTCCGATTTTTCAGGACAAATCCGTTTGAAATACAAACCTGAAATAAGGGACTAAATAACATGGGAAGACCGGATACGTGTTTAGTACGCGAATTTGAAGCCCCATCCGTTCCCGAGCAGCGTGAGTTTCTCAAACGACTTATGCTTTTCATAATGAAACCTAAGGCGACATCGACTGTACTCAATGTCCTATCTGAAAGTGAGCGAAAGAAAGGGACCGGTTCGGAATCAGTATTAAGGTGTTTTGCAAAGTAAGCGCTAAACAACTCCGCCTTGTCATTGTGATCAATGTGGAAGACTTTGTTATCATTTAACAGGGGTGGAAGTTTGTGATCACGCTCAGAGTAGGACCGATGACGGAAGATGTTGGCGACGGATTTGCCAGGGTTCGAATCACTGAGAGCAAGTGGTTCTCTTTGCCTGTCGCGCTTGGCCCATCCTTGAGGCCAGTTCAAAAATCTCTGTGATTCTAAGGTAAACTGATAAGGAACTAGTGGATAGGCCACGCAGCTGCGGTCTCAGTTTTTTAAGTTGGTTGTGAAGATAATGAGGAACAAGGGAATCCTATTGAATAAGGCTTGAGATATCTACACAGCAAAACTCTAGGATGTCCTCGGAAACATTGGACATGACATCAAGAAGAATGGTAGCATCGGTACAGGAGAGGAAGCTACACAAATCCAATGATCTAAAATAGTTATTTATTAAGTCATTATCTTCGCAATCGTAGTTAAGTCAAGTCCGAACGGTGCTGATCATTTTTAAAAGGATAAGCGGTTAGCAACAATAAGTGGTCACTATCGAAGTGGTCCTTTTTTAAAGGAACAAAAAGAGGAGCAATGTCATTGGTAAAGATTAGATCTAAAATGTGATTATCACTTGTTGTAGAGCACACCAGTTCAGAGCAGTTAGAAAAATTAACAATATCTTGGAAGGGCTGGAATCTAGGTTGACAGATATTGGAAACCCAGTCGATTTGGGGAAGGTTAAAAACCCAGTGATTATTTTAACATCGAAAGCAACTTCCGAAATTAATTTAAATATTTCACAGAGTTGTGAATCATCACTAGCTGAAGAATTGGGGGGAAAGTAGCCACAACCAATAAATGCCTTTCTTTGCGGCGAGAAAATAACAGATGCAAAGCAGAAGTTTCTCGTGAATGAGGAGACATCCAAGTAAAAGGGAGTGTGTTTAGGTAGGATCTAAGACACAGAAGATAACCGTTCCCCACACCTAGTCGTGCGGTCTTGACGGTAAAAAGTGAAGTCATCTATGGGAAGGGCAGAGTTAGGAATTAGAGAATGGGTCCAAGATTCTGTTGCACATATAATGTCAGGCGGCATTTCCAGACCAATGGCTCTGATTTGGGCCATCTTGTTTATAACAGACCTGGCATTCAATAAAATAATCTTAAATGTGTTTCGAACAGCAAAGCTATTGTCGACGGTACTTAGAAAAAAATTTAGAGGCGGATGCGTAGGCTGTGAATTAATGATGCTTGGGGAATAGGTACCAGTTAATCTAGGGTTATTGACGTAGGGGGAGTCAGCAAGAGAATGCTGCGAGAGATACGTAAAGGATGTGGGGATACAATTTGCGAACATGGGAATGCTAGGGGAATTCGATTAGGGATAGGCCCGTTGGTAGTTGAATTGTGAAGGAGGAGAAGGAGGA